CCTCAAAAATTGATAAATTATTTTACAATAAACATTATCATCAATAATTATAAGAAGTGAGAAAGAATATTATTTATGTGAAAGAAATATAGCAATTATGTGTGGTATATAATTGATCCAGCAACATTTATTAAATATAAACTTGATTACGCCATCTTTTGGTTTATAAAAATCTTGATAAATGAAATATTTGATTAAGTATTGACTTAAATCAAAAGAGAAAGATTAATTCAAATATTTGAAATTATAAAACTGGTTGTAATGACCCAGAAAAAGGGCTATTTCTTATTTCATAATCCTTTGAGCATTTAAATAGAATTTTAAAAAGTCTATGGGATTTAAAGCTGGCAAAAGAAAATTAAGCAAAATGCGCTTGAAAACGGTAATTATAAAAAATATAAATCAATATATACCAGCCCCTGTTTAAGCTTTTCCTGTGTAGGAAGGACAATAGTAAGTAAAATTTTTTTTGTTTGTTGAATCATATAAAATATTGAAAAAAAGAACTTAACCTTTTGCATACATACTAAATATTTGACAATTTAATGGATCGCCATAATAATGACAATTATAAGTTCAGAATAAATGACAAAAAAATATATAATTTCTAGAGCTATCGAAGCAATTTTACTTAGAAGCATAAATTTAGCGATAATTTATAAAATATTTTTGGTTTAGCTACGTATATATACAAAGAAAAATAAAATATTTTGTTAAAAGATGCATGAATTCTAAAGATTAAAGCGTCCTATAAGAAATGGTTATATTCAATAGATCAAAGTGTCTTCCCATGATAAAATATAAAAATATTCGCCTGATAAAAGAGTTTCTCAAAATTCAATATTTTAAGGTATAATTCACCTATTGTAGCATATTTATACCTTTTGCCATTTTTTATGTCAAAATAATTTAATATTTATTTTTCATGCCAAAATTTAAGCAAATTTAAAGCATAAATATTAAAAAATAGTCGGTAAATTTTAAAAAGGAATTATAAAATTCATGTATCTTAACCAAAGAAGGGGGTTTCCAGATCATATATAACTGAAAAATGAAGCTAATGCAGGAAGATTTGACAAGAAAACATTTTCAATAAGTGTTTGATTCTTTTTTAAAAAAATAACTCAAAAGAATTTAACAATAAAATTCAAAAGTTAAATACATATTATACAACAAAGTTTTCCTAGAAAACATTTTCAATAAGTGATTGATTCTTTTTTAAAAAAATAACTCAAAAGAATTTAACAATAAAATTCAAAAGTTAAATACATATTATACAACAAAGTTTTCCTAGTATTTGGTTAGAATTATGTACAGGGCTAAAGAAAATTTTGTTGAGACACAAATGGGGATTTCAGAAAGAAAAAATGCCTGTTTAAAATATTTTGCAATATTAAATAATTCTTTATGATTTCAGATATAATTTCGTCACAAAGTTTATTTTTAACTAAAAATATATTTTTATAAACTATTTGAAGTAAAAATATAAAAATAACTTTTTTTACATTGCATGGTTAATAAAATTTAACATCTTTATTAAAGCAATAGTGTCTTTGTATACTGGTTTAGAGGCAAATCTAGTATTTTGCTAGATTACTATATTCTATTTAAAGTTTATAATAGTTTTATTTTAAATGAGAGGAATTTTTGATTCCGATGAACATTTTGTTTTGTCAAGCATAATGCATAAATTTTTTTTCTATTTCACAAAATTATGTTTATATGAATTAAAATAAAAATATGGAGATTTTGATTTACAATACGGATGGGAATACTACAAGGATAAATAATATTGTCGTATTCTCTGGTTCGCTGGCCCGCTTTTAGGTACCTTTGAACCAGCAAAGAGGAAGAGGAGTTATCTGAATTAAATTTAGTTTTAAAATAAACATGTTTACCCATAATAATAATTTTTAATTAAAGCTTTTTCTTAAATGCTTTAAACTAACCAATCATAATCAGTAATTTTATTTTTCCTCTTTTTGATTTTATGAGGAGACATAATCTGATTAAGCTGATTAGTAAAAGCATTTAAGGAAGTAGAAAAAGTGTGTGGTTGATTAACACAAATATTTTTAATACAATTTTAAAAATTTAATGCTTAATTACCCTTTCTAAATAATAAAACAGCGTAATATTTTAGAAAGAAGATTAAATTTTGATTAAAGTTTTTTTATCATAAATTAATTTATAAAAAAATTTTTAATTTATCTTTTTATAAATAAAATCGATTTAAGTACACAAATGATATATTATTTAGTAAAAAAATGATGATAATTGAATGAAAGTAAGAAATTTTAAATATTTTTTGTATGCAAACAGTTCTTGTGAAATATGTCTATTGTAAATTTTTTTTGAACTGAGAGATCATCAAAAATATGTAATTTATAAATTGAAATTGGTATTATTTTAAAGAAGCATGGGTTGCTTTTACCATATGCTAAATACAAATTTTTTGACCCTGACGATAAAACCCCTTAAATTAGGTAGTT